ATGGCAACTGGCTATACTAACATGCACAAATGGTTGAATGGCAGGGGTGCCAGACTGAAACAAAGTAGAAACAATGTGTGAAAGCTCACAGGAGTATCAGGACAGTTGTGACTGAACAGGAGGGGCTCTCCGTTGTACAGTCTAGTCTAGCACTCTCACAATGTGCCACAATCCAAGCATTACATGATCACCTACACTGATAAGGATACTTCATATGGGTGTACAATATATTGGTGCTCAATTTATATTATTCTAAATTATTATTACTGATCCAATATTGGAATAACAGCCACAATTACAACCAATAGTTTAGTATCCCACTTTTAATTTTTCACGTGTTCACTAGGGGTAGTAATGCCCTTAACACCCACTCTGAACCCCGGAGAATAGCATTTGATTTCCGGTTGAGGCAAGCACACCTCTGCTACATTGAAAGAGAATGTCACAATAGGAGTCCTTGGGCAAGACTCCCAATGCAGCATTTATCTACTGTATGTGCTTGGCAAACAATCAGTCAATCAATCAACCTTTCTTTAACCTCAGGGAACATTGAGGGTGACCCTCATTTACAATGTTGCAGAGATGTCAAATATACAGTGGAACAGACTAATCGTTTTAATTTCCAATGGATTGGATCAAATTTGAGAAAGACTCTAGGCCTCCCAAAAGTTCTATTATGTCATTGACTATAAATACAAGTGGTAGCCTGATCATTAGATTTCTGTCAGGTGTTAGAAATCGAAAACAATTGCTCGTGCTCTATGCCAGAGCTCTTTACTGAAGAAACAATACATGTTAATGTATGTTACAAGCATCAAATAAATCACATGGATTATTTTTTGAAAGCTTCAAATGTCTATGTTTAATCTTGAAAGGCCAAATAATGTCACCACCACTAACAGGGTTTAATAATTTTGTTTTTTTCTCTTTTTTGTGTGTTTTTTGACATTTATGGCCTTAACTGGGGGCTTAGGTTTGAGGCACAGTTCTCCACTACATCACTATAAAAGTTCAATATTACTGGTCTGAAAGTCAACAGGGATTGCTTCTCTTTTGAATTGTTTAAAAGACAGAGTAAACTATAGAAGGGAGGCATCTTGCCACAAAAATACTTATTATGGCAGGTTAAAAACAACTGTTTGGGTTAAATAACCTAAAGCAACTTTCGTGTCTAATAAGCCTCTTCTTCTTTCTAGCACTCAAAATGAAACAGTGTCATGAAGTTGCAGTTTTTTAAGTTTCTCTACAATAAATCCTAAATGATTTTTTAAAGTCTCTCCAATATGTCAGAATATAAATGCCACATTATCTGTGTTTTGGAGCAGAGCTCTCCGTGGAGTCAATAATGAAGCCGTCTTTGCCTGTCCTTGCCATCTTCCTCTTCAAGGGCACAGTAGCCAACCATAAAATTAGAGGTGCGACTCCGCTGCCTAACCATGACATCATCCTGTCAGGACCTGGGGCGGAGACACATCGCCATGGCGATGCGACTCAGAGGACTTTAGGGCAGGACAAGGCAGTTATTTAGATTGTGTGACCTCAGTCTGCCAGTGAGGATTTAAGAGTTAGCTTATGAGAGAGAGTACAAAGAGAGAGAGAGTTTGTGTGTGTGTGTGTGTGTGTGTGTGTGAGAGAGAGAGAATGAATGAGTGAGAGTGAAAGAGAGAGTGAGAGAGAGAGAGAGAGAGAGAGAGAGAGCGAGAGAGAGAGCACGAGAGAGAGCGAGAGAGAGAGAGAGAGGTACTGGTGTGTGTGAGACTGAATGAGTGTGTCTTGATGATGTAGAGTTTGCAGTTCTGAAGCGGCGCAGTAGTGTTATGGATCTATCAAATGCACAGTAAAGATTAATGCTTTGTTCACTAATGCCAAACAGGGCGTGAAGTGAGTGAGTGCAAGTTACAGCACCCTCAAATGACTCTGAAGATGCGCGCACACACACACCCACACAAAGATTTTCCTATATTTCACACACACACACACACACACCCACACAAAGATTTTCCTATATTTCACACACACACACACACACACACACACACACACAGACACACACACACACAGACATGCGACCAAAACAGAAAGTCTCCAACAAGGCAATCAACAGTTAGCTAATTTTAATTGCCGCTCTTTATTGCTGAGTTTCCCGTTATGGCTCTGGTTTTCTAAGTATTACTGCCACTCTCACTGTACTGTCACTAAATGACCCACTATAGCAAGAATACACCACAGGACTGATCTACCACAGGGCATTCATCATCAGATAAATATGCTTAGTTCGCTTACACAGCCACCAGATAAGTGCTTGCAGTCCATGATTTTCAGTCCATCACTCTAACACCAATTGTTAAATGTTAAACGGTGCTGCTAGCTATGATAGAGAAGCTGGTAAGCATTAGCTTCGCCAACATGACAACAGCTCTCCTCATCACAGAGCAGGCTTGATTCTGGCTAACCAAAGCAATGACACAAGTTTGGATGATAATGAATCAAGCCTAAGTGAGTGAAGTAACTGTGTTGGAGGGACAGAACAAGAAAATTAAATCTGTTCCGTGGTGTTCGGCTCTGTTGCCTACTAGCTAAACTAACATTAGCTAATAGGCTTAAAGTGCCACACCAAATAAGTGATGGTTAAATTGCAAACACAGAGAAAACAAAGACTTGTATCTGAGCAACAGCTAAAATCAAACGTGTTCTGTGGTGAGTTAGCCACCGATGAGTCCCTGTCCTGTGTATTTTGTTTTAGGTATTTTCTAGTCCTGATGTAGCAGCACACAGGATGGAAAAAGAAACGATAACTGGCAGAATACAGCCGTGGAGATGACTAGGCTCTTCAGTGGAGGTGTTGAATTTTTCAATGGGAATGCATGTTGTACATGTTTCTGTCTCTGACTATGACTTGTTTGCAGACAACCAAAATAATAAAAATTCTGGTTAACTCCATCCCCAGTGCCACAATATTTAAATTATTTATTTATAATTTGTGAGTTTCTGTTGTTTGACATGACCACTGAGAACTAAGAGTCAAATCTTACAATTCGCAGGTGACTTTTATCAGTCAATAAAGCACTGCTTAACTAAAACAACTGTGTAAAAATACATATGTATAAAAATAAAAATAGATCAGACAATTCACAGTCATTAAAATTTTCAGTAAAGGTTGTTTTCCGCTAGTGTGAAGCTGTCTTACAATTCACTGAACTGTCCAGTCAGCTCAACACAAACACACAAGTACAGCTGCCCAGAATCTGGCCTTCCTGTAAGAAAGACGGGTCACCCCCCAGCTCCTTCTCTTCACACACATACACGCTCACTCACACACACATACACACAGACACATTTGTGGTCTCCATTAGCCTGTCTTGCACTCAAGCTCTCTAGGTGCAAGACAGTGAGGCCATCCACTTCAGCATCCCCCTGTCCTTCTCTCTCACTCCCACTCTCACTCTCCATCAAGATCAGAAGTCTCAGAGTCATCACTTCACAGGTCACACAATCTCCTGAATCCAAAGGTTTCCTGCTTCATAATGGAGACCTCACTATTAACTGTGAGTTTGTGACTATAGTATTAACCCATTCTTAATTTCTTTGCAGTACTGCTCAGTACCTACTGATAAAATTAACTAAACTGATATTTTCCACATGTTGCTATCACATAATTAGATGATATTTCAGTTTGCATTAATAAAGTTAACGCTTCCAGAGTACTGGTGCTCTAAGCAGAAGGAATGTCTTAAATATCTGGCTGTTTGTGTTGATTCTTCTCCTCAAAACACCAAAAAGAACTTTAGAAGTGGCAAAGGGTCATGGCATTTGTATGGAACAGAGTGTCTGCATGAATATTAAGGTAAAGGTATCCAGGCACACCTACTAATCAATAAATTCAGCTGCTTTAAGGTGCATCCACTGCTGACACAGGCGCTCAATAAAGCAATAGAACGGGATAGTCTGGAACAGCTACACATGGAGCAAGATCACCATGCCCAAAGCCAAGCATCAGCTACACAGGTATAAACTCCCAAGCACTGGGCTGTGGAGCAGTGAAACTGTGTTCTCTGGAGTAATAGAGCACCACCCATGACTTTTGTGATACAGAACTAAAGATCCAACATCAGTATCTGACCTCACTAATCCTCTCGTGGTTATATGTATTCAAATTCTTACAGCAATGTTCCAACATCTACTGTACAGCCTTCTAAGAAGAGTACTGTTACTATAACAAAGGCATATGATGTATCAATACCAATAAAACTACAAATCAGTATTGTGGTGTGGCACCAATACTGGTGTATAGACTATATATCATCCTGCACTTGTCTTTTTTTTTTCTCCCCAATTTAGTCGTTGCCAATTCCACCTGCTAGTTAGGACTCCCCCAATCACACGATACTATCAACGCTAGGAGGGCGAAGGCTAACACAGGCTTCCTCCGAGACCTGTGAAGCCAGCCACCGCTTCTTTTCGACCTGCCGCTCACGCAACGTCACTGGACAGCTGAACGCGCTCGGAGGAAAGCGCCAACCGCCAGACCTGTTACGTCAGCTAACAGACGCCTGCACTGACTAGCATCGCGTTAAGTAATGGGGTGAGAAGGAGGGGCCATCCTACCCACCCAGAGAGAGCGAGGCCCATTGTGCTCTCTTGGACTCCCGGCTACAGATGGCTGTAGCATCACCAGGGATCGAACTCGCAATCTCCTGATGATAGGGCCAACGCTTAGACGGTTGCGCCACTCGGGAGCCCTGCACTTGTCTTTAATACTCACATTTCACAATAAACATTCACATTTAAATCACAAACAATTCACTAGGAGCAAGCACACAGCAACAAACTGCCCTTAAGCATGGTAGGCATACAGCACAATTCTCTCAACTCTCCATGCTCTGTCTACTCCCAGCCTTTGTAGACTGTTTGTGGATGACTGAAGGAAATCAATTCATACAAGGGGTCCCTAAGCACTTTTTCCCAGTTACCACCAGTTTAATGATTTGTCTGTCTCTTACCTGCGACTGAGTTGGGCCTGGGCATCATGAGGCTGGAGGAGCTCTGTGTTGGGTAGTGAACTGGACCCTCAGCATTGGCCCCTGCCGCCCCTGCCCCTGCGGTTACCGTGGTTGCGACTCTGCTGCTCCCAGAGCTCTCTGCCGTGGATGCTTCTTCCTCAGCCACAGGAGAGCAGGTGTCTGCACGCATGGAGGTCGGAGCCAGTGCATGGTGCCCACTCCCTCTCACACTGCTTTCCTTACTCCACTCCAGACTGGACCCACTGCGGTCATCATTCTCTGAGGAGCTTGTGATGGTGGCTAGATGAGAGAGAGAGAGAGAGAGAGAGAGAGAGAGAGAGAGAGAGAGAGAGAGAGAGAGAGAGAGAGAGAGTAGTGTCAGGAATTTGTATCACAAAGTGTTACTGAGCTTAAGGCTTATTAATCAGTAACTACTATAAATTTTTCGGGAATGACTATAAAAAAAAATACTACAAGGTATGTATTGTAGTGTGCCTAGCCCTCAAATCTACTAACACTCCAGTCATAGTAGCCCTGATTTTAAAACATAAATATTGAACATAATTAAAAATTTACAAATAAACATCCCGCTGTAGTGTGGGGCACAGTTTGAAATATTTGTCCAAATTAGTTGGGTTCAGACATCATTTCTCAAATATACCATATGGACAAAAGTATTGGGACACACTTTCTAATTATTGAGCTCAGGTGTTTCAGCCACACCTATTGCCAGGTGGATAAAATTAAGCACATAACCCTGCAGTCTCGATAGACAAACAATGTAGAATAGAATAGATTGCACTAATGAGCTCTTTAAACATGGCACTGTCAAAGGATGCCACCTCTGCCACAAGTTACATTATTATTGTGAAATGGAAGCACCTAGGAGTAACAACAGCTTAGCCATGAAACGGTAGACCACACAAACTCACAGAGTGGGGCTGCCAAGTGCTGAAGCTCACAGTCTCTATCCTCTGTTGAATCACACACTAAAGAGTTCTAAATTGCCTCTGGAAGCAACATCAGCAAAAAAACTGCACGTTAGCAGCTTCAGAAAATGGGTTTCCGTGGCCGAGCAGCTACACACAAGCCTAAGGTCAAAATGCACAATGCCAAGCATTTTATTCTGGGCAAGTGTGTAAAGTTTGGTGGAGGAGGGATAATGCTATGGGGTTGTTTTTCAGGGGTTGGCCTTAGTTCCAGTGAGTGTAAATCTAGTGTGAGTGTGAGAGTGAGTGTAAAGCTTCTAACTTTGTGGGAACAGTTTGGGGAACTCCTTTTTCTGTTCCAGCATGACTGAGCCCCAGTGCACCAGGCAAGCTTCTTAAAGACATGGATGGGTGAGTTCGTAGAAAGCTTCCCAGAAGAGTGAAAGCTGTTATAGCTACAAAGGACCAACTCTATATTAATTCTTTGGATTTAGAATAGGATATCATGACAGCTCCTATAGGTGTAATGTGCAGGTGTCCCAATACTTTTGGCCATATAGCGTATCTGTGATGCGCAGGTTGGGTTCAAAGTTAGTTTTTTTTATTTTACTTCATTTTTCTGTATACAGATACTTTTAATACCTTTTTTTTTTTTTTCAATCTGGTATGCTGGAGTTACCCACTACTGTTGCTGACAATTTAGCATTGTGGTCCACGAGACCCACACTTGTAAGAAAATGGATGCAAGATAAAACGCTAACCAATTTAGGACAGAACAGTTTAGTGAAAAAAAAAGAACGTTTATATTGTTGGGCCAAAAATATTTTTTTATTATACGTAATATGTTCTATGGGCAGAAAGAGTTTTAGGAAAAAACAGGTGGAGATGGTCGGCGTGTCTTGTGTGAAGCACAGCATTGTCATGCAAGACAGACCGATAACTGAGAAAGCCAAGCTAAGCAAAGTGCAAAGCTGAATGGAGAGTTTAGCATACTATGTTAATGCTATTTATCATTAGTATTTCTATAGGAATTGCTATGTTATGTCAGCACCAAACTGACAATTATTTTCCCACAAAAACAACAAATTAGGATCAAACAAATTTAATTCTTATCCAAGTTTTTGCTTCTAGTTTTCTGCTTTTTTGCTTCAAAATACTGCTGCACATTAAGCTACCACACAGCAATCAGTGCCTCGATGTCTTCCAAAATGTTTGTTTTGACTTCAGAAATTCTGCAACATCCTAAATTGGTCAGGTCTTTGGCTTGTGAGCATAATCTGAAAGTGAGAGGTATTTTACTCTGGGCAAATTTTGTAGTCTGGGGACTTTGATGACTAAAGGATGACTAAGGACAGTGAAATCTGTCATTATGTGTGGGGTCTCTCATATTTCGTAAAAAATAAAAACAAAGGGTGCTTGGCACATTCTTGTTCCAAATTTGCACATGAATTTAGATTTGTGAGAGAAGGGTAGAGTGAGAGGGAGGGGGAGAGAGAGAGAGGGAAAAGGGTGTTATCCTCCACGTCTTATAACTCTTGACGTATGAAGATGATGAAAGTGAGAGGAAAGAGGGGAGGACAGGAAGAACAGATGGGTATTTGAATCATGACTGTGGTCCTTAGAAGTCAGCTTATTTGCATAAACAAGAAGGAGAAGCGGAGGTCTTAACCTCATAACCCTTTAGTGATGATGGCTTCACACAGGAGAGCGAGAAAAAAAAAAGACCAAGAAAGAAAAGATGGACAAATGGCTGTTAAAGTCAGCTCTAATTCCATCATAGCTCACTTCCCTCCTGGAGAACAGTGAGATGAGATTGCTGGCCATAATGAAAGACTCTGAGGTAAAGTTTCTCCCCTCAACAGCTCTGACCTTATCAACATCCTCCACCTGATCATATTTACCCTCTACAGTTAGGACACAGCTAATTAGATCTAGCCTCATCCTCACTTACTCTCTTCAGATTCACATTACGTGAGTCGATGTCTAATTTCTCTCTGTGAAGACAGATGCTGTGCGTATGTAGTCAGCAACTCAGGTCAGAAGTGAACTGAATGTGGATGCCTTTGCTTAATCATGGCTTAGCACTTCTCATTAAATTATAACAGTACAGTATATGTAAATCTCATCGAAGATTATGGATCTGACAGCAGTAAGTTTATTAACCCACGCAATGGTTTACACATCATAGACCACAATGGGGGGAAATTATTACGCAATATTCAAGATTACACAAATCAAATGATATGCCCAACCTGAATCCCAGTTTAGTTGTGCATGTAATTATTTCAAAGAAATATTCTCTAGTAAAAAGGAAACAAAAAAAGTGCAAACCTCTGCTAAGCAGGGTTCTGGGCAGTGGAAGCAGCCCTTGTTTCCATTAATAGAGTTCAGACAGGTGTTTGCTCACATGAAAAAGCAAATCTCATAATCCTCTCCTCTGTTCTCTCAGGTCGCCATGACACATGGTGTAAAAGCCACAAATAAACAGACCTGCCAAATGACACCTACATCCTTCAACCACAGGGAACGAACACTCGCTGGCTTACACGTCTCTGTCTGCCCTATCCTCTTGTTTTTTTAAAGATAATGTGGATTTCAAACACCAAACATATGTTGCATCACTTGATACGAACATCAGAAAATCAATCTTTGAATAAAACACTAGATGTTGAATGTGTCAAAGCAGAAAGAAGCAGTGCCATTTCATTTAATTCATGCTCGCCCTAAACAAAATGTGACTGCTTCTCTCATAGTCGTATGCAAAAGTTTGAATACCCTCAAACAAATTACGTTTTATTGATTTTCTAAACGAAGTCGACCCATTCCCTACAGAGAAAAAATGTAAAAAGAAAATAAAAAAAATAATAAAATAAAAATAAAATTAACCATTACACAGGCCATACATTGTTTATTTTTTTTTCCAATATGTTACATTCAGCAGTTTTGAATTTAACAGTAATTTGAAGCAGAAATTGTGCATTCAAATGTGCAGTAGTGTGTTCTCTGTGGAGGATGTGTACTTACTTTAACTTACAAAATCAACAAAACATGCCATTAGACTAGGAGTGCCCTGTGCACAATGTTTGTGCCCATGCTTAAGTACAACTCTACTGTAATGCAGAATCATCACTCTAAGAGTAGGCTTTACAGTCTGGTCAGGTTCGGGTGTGAGTGCTTATTTTGGCTATCATAGAGGATGAAAGATAGATTAAGCTATTTGTCAGAGGTCCTGAGCTTAATACCACTTTCCAGACATCAGCTGTGAGATGTATTGTGTGTCAGTGTGCGTGGACACATATGCACACATAATCCAAGCTATGTGTCTGTCAAAAGTAGGAAAATTAAGACGTGGCAAGAAGAGAATGTTCCATCCTCCCTCTTTCTATTACAGAAACTTCATTAATAAGTCATCATTCCTCTCTTCTCTTTCCCCAAACCTTTCAGCCCCCTTTCTTTTTCTCTTTCTCACTCAACCAAGGTTAGTTAACACTCTTTGGAGCTAGGCTTGTCATGAAAATGAAAATTTAGCTGACGATGAATTATCATGAAAATAGCTGCAATAAACAATTTAATTTATTTAACTGTCTTTTTTGTGTATGCGAATATTAAAGTCTAAAATTATCAAATTGGCTAATTAGTTATCTTGCTTCCTAGCACTCGATACTTAGCAACTCCTAACAGCCAATAGACACAGCACAAATAAACAAACATTACTCAGTGCTGCCCTCTAGACATGTTACAGCACCATGTTTTTGTAAGACCGACGTTACGTCTCAGTAATTGTGTCTTCAGCCCTCTGTTTCTTGTGATGTAAATTTACTAGCATAAAAGCTAATAACTGCAGGAAATAACTGTTGTCTGCTTAATGCACTAAGCAGCAAGAAACCACAATCAAAACAATTCACTTCAGTTAATACTGGTGATTGTTATTAGAAACATAAGCACACTTGTCATGTTTTCATCACAAATTTGTTTTAGATTTGGATTTTTGTCAGTTGCCAGATGTGAGAAGCAGAAAGATTAAATCTAATGTGAATTTGGCCATCAGTGCTACAATACTAGAGTCTCTGCAGGATGTTTGTCCTATTTAGTGTGACTGGACCGCTTATATCTTAACCAGAGAGGAAAACAAGCAGTAAAGTACTGAGATTTTATGTGCTGTAACAGCACTTTGGAGGACTTTGTTTTTTTATTTGAGTGCTCACTCCTTCCTAGTCTTGGTGGTCAGAGCAATATATATGAAGAATGATACTAACACAGGATTTCTTTTAACTTATTGCAGACATAGTGGCACCACTAGCAGGAATTATTACAAATATCTACAAAGGTATGTAAGACAGGATGGCCAGGATGGTAGAGGAGAAAGAACTGTATGGAGGCAGACTGGTTAACACCCTTCTCTTAAAACAAAGCAAGTATTAATGCAGAAAACAACCACAAACGTACATGCAAGGGATACAGAGATATGGGAATTTGTACTATAGCATCACCTAAACATTCTGCTTTTTGTGGAACATAAATATATCATCAAAAATTAGATATCATAGTAAGTACTTCAGCTGTTCTTCTGATGTCAGTGTAAAAGTGAAAGGTGGTCGAAGGCTTTTTTTTTTCTTTCTGCTCACAAATTATTAATTTGTGGAGTTAAAGAAAACATTATGATTAAGGTCTAACTTGTCTAACTGTGATGCACAATTCATATATCTAGGAGAGAGATGACACACACACACAGCTCCGTCCTCTGAACTACACTTCTTTATATTTCAAAAAACAAAAAAAAGTGAGTTTAAACATTTGGAGCAGATCTCCTCCATAACACTGTGGCAGTGGCCACACGAAAGATTTACCCTACAGATATTTTACAGCAGCTCAAACTTTTCAGCTGTCATGTTACATAATAATTAGGAGAGAAATATGTAATCTTTCTGTCAGTGAGTGTGAAAGCACAGATCTGCAGAGATTCATGTCGGCGATTGGCTAGACCTTCACCACAGCACCATCTCTCTACAACAATGCATGCCTACTGACAGATCAATCTAATATCATTGAGGAATACTATTCTTGTGTTTGAGCCACGTGATTTTTCCGTTGTGGCTGCCATATTTGGGTCAAATTTCTGGCATTGCTGCACAATGTTAATGAACAACTGCATATTTTATTAAAAAGAGGGCACAATTAGTCCTGTTTAACTGGATTTAGTACAGTGCAGAGTGAAACACTGAAAATAAATTGTTGTACCTAGAGCTGATGGTAGTTTTTTGATGGAGGCATTAGTTGTGTAGTCTGTCTGTGTGAAAAAAAATAAATGTGATCATTCTTATCATGTATCGTGAAAATTTCTAACCGTGAAAATTCAATATGACACTGGAAAATAACACTTGCTACTGGCATCTCGGTTTTAAGTGCTTTCTTATTTAAATTACAAATGCAATACGTTTGCCTTGTGCAAAAGGATTTATTTTGCAAACTCTGAAGAATACTACATGCACTAAATTAGCTAACAGCTTTAAGCAGCTAACAGTGATCACTAAAGGCGTAACTATAGGCTAGCAATGTAACTATCTGAGTAATATGCTTAAATATGTAGCTAGCTGCACTCATTTCAAGAAAAGTGACCTGTGGTAGAAGGATTCTGTGGAATGACATGTGGCACTTGCCACTGGCATGGACGTTTAAAGTGAAGAAATGATCTGCCACTGATTCCTGCGACCCACTATCAAGTCATTACCACTGCATGTTTAAGCAGAAATGGTTTTAAACAGATAAAATCAATAGATTCGTTTTAGGAAGTTTAAAAACAGACAAGGTTGGTTAGGTTTGATCACAATAAAAGATGAAGGGGGCTGACTATAGTTAACCAAATTGTTCTGGTTCATGTTAGTTCATGGTTAGTTAAAGTTTATTCTGAATATATTTTGCACTTGCCGACATGAGAGAGAGTAAAAGGATTTGTGGAAAATTGTAATCCCTCGCTTGCAACAAATTATGCAGCAAATAGAAAGGCATCTCATTAGCTTAGCGCAGTCAGTCCCCTATTCAGTCCCCAAAAAGGCAGTCATTTACAAAGTGTGATGTCACACAAAATGTAAGGATAACCAAGCCACAGAGCACCAATGCCTTATGTAAAATTATTCTTGAACAGAAGTGATAACGGTGCCAAAGGCGCTGTAGTGGTTGCCAGAAGAACAGCTTGTGTGTGCTTGTAGTACCTATGATTCCACTGTCCTTGCTTTCTAAAGTGGAGCTGGGGCTGGTGATAGTGCCGCAGGGGCTGCGCTGGCTGGCGGGAGGGCGGCTGGCACTGCTGTTCAAAGTGGAGCAGGGGCTGTCTGTGCATGCAGACGCTGTGCTACTGGTCAGTGTAGAGCAAGGACTCACCCCCTGATTCACTAAGCACTACAGAGAAACACAAACACAGAAAACAGCATCTTCAGCTTGAATCAATGCACACTTTCAATTTCAATTTTCACTATTCAATTTTCTGGTCATGTACTGCTATCTTTACTGCACTTCTTATAACACTGAAAAAAAGGAAAGGAGAGAGGAGACATAAGAGAGGAATTCAGAATCAAATTACATTAGGATTACAGAGGAATGATCTAGAGAACATGAATATAAAAGCTTCAACCCATAAAACACGTTCTGATCAACAGTTTCCATCTTGAGGCGAGCCTAGAGAGTTCATCTCGAGTTCAGCCTATTTTCCAAACTCCAAACAAACCCGAGCGCATCCACTGCTTCAGCAAAATAAATCAGCCTCTCATTAGTCACACAGAGACACGTGTTTGGAGTAAGATCACTCACCACATTATTCATCTACACCAAAACAAACCAAGGGCAAACTGCTTTAACTTCAAATCATCTCAAAGCTCTAACTCAGTCTCTCTTCAATCCACTCTTTAATCCCTTTCAAATCAGTCCAATTCAAAACCCCTCCACTTGAGCTGTGTGATACTGATAAAAGTCTGTGTCATGATATTTCCCCAATACATCACAGTATCCAGTGATATAAGTCTGCATTAACAAAGTTAATTAATTCATGTTCTCTGATAGAGTGCTGCTACTCTTTATACCAAAAACATCTAACAAATGGGGCATAATCTGTGTTAACTGAACTGTTTTCTTCTCTTAAAATGACACTAAGGGACACTTGTATAGTATTGCAAAAGTTAGCTAGACAGACAGAAACCAGATTTGCAGAAAGAAAAGCTTATTATTTATTTATTTTTATGTATTTTGCTCTTTCACAACAATCTGAAGCATGACGTAAACAACATTTGTTGCAGTTGCCCAGGTTTTTATGTAGCAATATCTCTAAAACTGAAAATCAACAGCATTATTGGCCATATCGCTCAACTATGTTTACTGTGTCATTTAACAAATACTGCCTTATTTTACATTCTCTCTTATTTGAATAAATGAAGATCACCATCCCTTGCAAAGTGAGTTCGATCTGTTGTCAAAAAAAAGTCCAGGAGCAGAAGATTCAAAGGTTCCTCTGCCACTGCCTTACAGTATCAGCCTAATTATCCCTGCCAAACATACAAACAAACAGACTGCAATAACCTGACATGTTACACTCTTTCTCAACAAGCTCTCTTACACACTCAAGTTTGTGAGGGGGCAGATCACAGAAGAATCACTGCCCTGCACACGTCAGCTGAGCAAAATCAATTACTTAAATCACACACAGCAAACCAGCTACAACACACGCTGCTGCCCAAACCCTCCATTACACTCAAAACACACCCTAAATGTAACACACACTCACCAAAAACATACACATTGTCTTAACACACACTGTAGAAGGAAACATGTGCTCAGACACTGCACAGAGCAGGTTGATCAAAGTTAGCCTTACACTGAGAGAGTGAAGCCATTCCAGTGATAATGAGCCTGTAATCCAGCTCCAGTACAGAGCACACAGCTCCACACACTGATCATCCTTCTCTTAAACACTCACCCAACTCTGGCTTTCTCTCATTCTTTTTTCTCTCTCTCGCTTACTTTCCCTCCTTAACTCTTTCCCTGCCTCTTTTATCACTCATGCTTCAGTGCTAATACATACATACGTATATACTGCCTCTTTCTTTCCCTCCCTCTCTTTCTTATCTGTCTCTCTCGTCCCTCAGACCCCCCGCCCCGTGCCTCCCTCTCTCTCTCCTTCTCTCCCTCTGCCTCCCTCTCTCTCTCTCTCAGGCAGCAGCAGCTGCAGAGGGAAAATTAAATACCTTCTTTTCATTCTTGTTGTCCATAGGTATGCGCGCAGAGCCTGGGATGCCTTCGCCCAGCAAGAAGCCCAACCGTGTCATCAACTCCTGAGTGGCGGGGGAGGGGCCAGGACTGGCCGGTTCTGAGAGAGAGGAGAGAGAGAGGGAGAGAGGGAGAGAGAGAGTGAGAAATGGAAAGGGAGAGGGTGAAGGGCAGAGAAACAGAGCACGCATGAGACAGACAGGCAGAAAAAGAGAGAGAGAGAGAGAGAGAGAGAGAAATGTTAGTTTCCCACACTGGCAGAATGGGAGAGTGGGACAGTGTGTGTGTTTCCCTGTTTGTTCTGATCTGTGTGTCTCAGTCTCATGGGGTCGACACAAGCTAAAAGAGAAAAAGGGACTGTGCAGTCAGCTGGAGTAACGAGAGTTACTGAACCACACGCACCAGCTCTCACCACCAAAACCACACAAACACAACGGCCAGTGATGAGACACAGAACAGCGTCATATTTTGAAGCATGCACACACACATAAAGCTCATTGAGGATGCAGAGGCAGTGTTAAGGTCATCAGTGTGAGTGTACTGTTTGTCTGCTGCCTGTTTGCAGCTCAAGCTCTCTAAGAGAGGAAGAGAATATTAATGAGTGGAAAATAGGACCCTCCGTTCAGTCTTTCTAGCTGTCACACACTTCTAGTTTCACAAGTAACGTGTTTCACACGTTATCTTTCTCCTGTTGCTGAGCTTGTTAAAAACTTCTTTAACTTTAAAGTTGTGTTTGGAATAAGCAGTTTTGATTGCTCATGCTTAAAAAAAATGGAGCCTGCTAAGAAACTCTGAAAGAAATAAGTTTAGCTTAAAATACTGGTCAGTGAGTACAAATCAATCAGTCAAAGACACACATACACAGAGGTTGAGCCAGCTGGGCAAGGTGTTTTACTCAGGCACAATGACATGAGCAAATGTAAATAAATATTTGTAATAAAATATTCATAACTAAATTCTGGTAGGTGTTAATATTACAACAGTAATATAAATGACAGGTTCAGTTATAGTATTTTCAGAGCTGATTTAAGGTCCACCAGAGAACACGTGGTGGCATAATGAGGAATCCAGCCTGCCATGCCATGTGAACCGGCAAGAAACAGTTAATCACAAACCAGCTGCCCTGAAGAGAAAAACAAGCAAGAAAACCTCACTTATACTCAACCTTGCTTTCACTCATTCACTTTTTTCCTCTTTGAATTAACCAATAACTTCAGGTTCAAACTCCTATCACACAAGAGAAAGTGACCATTAGGACAAGAGGGAGAGAGAGTTTAACATATGAGAAAAGGAGACAAGGACTGCTCTGGGGAAAGAGACGCTGAAAACAAAACGAGAGGCAGCAGGATGGTAGGTAATAACAAAGGAAATTAAACATTATAATTAAATATGTGTTCATATCATATCATATCATATACCACAAATGGTATACATTTCATGAGACTGGACAGTAGTAGTAGTCCAAAACGCAATGTGATCCCTTCACTTATCTATTATAAATACAGTATATTGCCTGCAAGTTTATTTCTGTAGGAAGCATTAACTACAAACTATTTGTATTACTTTATAAGCTATTTTTTTATTATTCTAGCATCATAATGGCATTCTTGTCTGATTAAGGTAAAATAAAAACATTAAAAAAAGGCTATGGAGTGTTGTGTTGGTAGGGCTGACTACCAAGGTTTGTCCCCACACTTGTGTATGCTGTAAAAATGACTTGATGTTTTAAATTAAAAAAGTAAGTTACCTGGTTGCTTTAAATTTTTAAGATCTTTGAACTTCTAATCATAAATTAACAGTTAACAATCTGTGTTTTACATTATGTTACATTTATTATTAGAAGTTCACAATCTCAACATTTAAGGCAACCTGGTTACTTACTTCTTTTAGTAACACACAATCATTTTTTACAGTGTAACAGCATAACTGCCACTGTGGCACACACAAACTCACCTTCATGACCTGTACTGTGGGTTTCCCCAGTGGGAAGAAGGAGACTAGGAGTGAACAGGACTGAACAGGTAAATATGAATAAATCAGGAACGATTTAGAATAAACAGAGAGTGGACTGTAGTGAACAGGGACTGAAGAGTAGTGAATAGGAAATGAACAAAGAGCTAAGAGGTAGTGAATATGAAGTAAACTGCAGCACATTTGGAGTGATTTGGGGTGAACTCATAAGTGAATAGTAGTGAACAGAGAGTGAAATAAACTGATACTTGATCACTGTGGTAAGCCTGTAGCTCACTACAGTATTGTAGTGCAGTAATCTATTACACAGCATTCCATCATCATTTCCTCTACTACAGACACACATACAAGCTTCCGTCACACCTCCTTCTCTGCCTCACACATTAATACCACTGACAGTCCATTTGATTACACACCTCCCTTCCTGGTATGAAGCAAGGACTAAAGCAGCTATGCATATCAAAGTAATACACAATCAATCCCCCTCCTGCACCCCATTCCACCACCCTCCACCACCTGCCAGCAAAAAGCACAAATAAAAAAAGCACACACTGCATCATACACACTTCAAAGTGTTTGCTGCCAACTGACCAAGAAATAATTCATTTATGGACACTCTGCTCTATATATACTTATCTCACCATTGAGGAATACAGCCGAGTGCATGTGGGCTGCTGGCGGCTCTGAATAAGAGAGATACGCGTGGAGTCTGTGGTTATGCAACCAATAGGAGGAGGAGGTGAAAGCATGTGAAAGAGCTGGGAGGAGCAATGAAAGAATCTCATTACTCTTTTCACCTCCATTCAGATTATTATGCACACAGACAACCCTGGAGAAGTGCTACCTGTTCTTTTCCCATCCCCATTCTCCACCACTCTGCAATGTCTCAGTTTAAATAAACTGGCCTGAACATGACCAGTTAACAAAAAAATCATAATTTCTCAAAGTTATAAAAAAGAAGTTCTACTAGAACGAGTGATCATTAAGGAAAGATATTTCTATTAAGGTACAATGAAACCTCTCTTTTGTTCTTCAACATGTTCCATCTTCTAACCACCACCACCCTATAATTTTTCACATTAAATAAGTTTCACAATCATGAACACAATGAGTTAGTATATTACCAAAGTATTTTAAATATTAGTCTATCATAAAAATATCACAATTACCCCAAGACATTTAAAGTAAGTTATACTAGGGCTATTATAAAAGCATATCTATTACTGTGTAAAGAAGCCCCTTCTCTCACTCTCTTTGGTTCACTCTCTTTGGTCTCTTGTCCTCTAACTGCCCCACCTTTTCAATTCTCTCTGCTTTTCTTGATCTTCTTAGCCATCTCCAGACCTTCAGTTGAAGGCATAAGTTTATAGACACATACACGGTATCTGCAGGTATGAGGAGGTAAAATTTAGGACTTCTTAAGACTTTTTTAATGCCACTCAGAGATAAAATTAGGACCACTTTGGCAAAAACAAAATGGCAAAAAGCACACAATGGCACCAATATTACATTTACAGACTTTACTGTAAACATGTGATTCCTATATTTTGTGATGAACCAATATTTTAAACAAACATAAATGAACAGTTTTGCATAAACAAAAATGGAACTGTCCATACACTGAAAATAGAGTATCACTTTTTCTGAAATTTTTCTACAATTTTCTCATAATCAGAACATGTTTGAGTTCAGCACCCATTGTCTCCAACTCTTCCTCTATTTTTTTTCACACATTTTTTCTTTGTATCATATGATTTTGTGATAAGCTGTGCCATTAATGTGCCAGCTTTTCCCTCAGCCTCTTCAGCAAGCTGATCAGCTTCCTTCTGCAAACTGATCGACACCTGGAGCAGAGTTTGCTTCCTTTTTTTCCAGCTCTGATTGTTGATGATTCTTGATAGCTATGTTGCTGTGCGCAGATACCAGAACACCTCTGCTTTAAGAGTAGCAGTGGAGGTCTGTTGATGGTGCTGCCGTCGCCAAGGTATCTGAAATGGAGTAGAGCTCTTTGGAACTGAGGTGGAAGACACAGAACAGTACTGGTAAATGCCGGGTGTTTGCTGGCGGGTTTTGGAAACCGCTTTGTGTTTCTCGCTCTCCATGTGCGATTCCACATGTGTCAAGCCTGAAGACCTTCTTGCACAGTGTGCAACGCACTTCATACAGATTACCCTGAACTGGATTTAACCACGGTGCAAAATTGGGGTTATCCAACCAGTTTTCATTAAATTTACATTTCCCCGTGCCTACAGTACCGTCTCCACTAGCTAAAACAAAGTAATGAACGTACCTGCAATTTGCGCTGCTCTGAGCCATAAATAATGCTTCGTTTTGATCTGCTGATAAAACAGTAAGCTAACGTGCATATGAAATCTGGAAATTGTGGAATGCAATGCCCAATAATAAAAACAAAATTGTAGTTATTGTCTGTGCCATTTTAAGACGTTTGGGAGATGGATTTAAGACATTAAGACAAATTAAGGCCTTTTTTAGTTAAACAAATGTAAGACTTTTTAAGGATCCGCGGACATCCTGCATGTAGCTTGAAGTCATTAAAATTATATTTATCTCCTTCACAGAATTCATGTCAATAAACTATAGTTTTAGCAAGTTGTTTAGGATATCTACTTTGCACATGAGACGAGCAATTTTTCCAACAAATGTTTAGATAATTTCACTTATAATTCACTGTATCAAAATTCCAATGGGTCAAAAGTTCACATAAACCAAGTTGGCTGTGCCTTTACACGGCTTTGAAAATTCCAGAAAACCATATCATGGCTTTAGAAGCTTCTGATAGGCTAACTGACATCTTTTGAGTTACCGGAGGTGTACCTGTAGCAGTATTTTAAGTAAGGCCAACTTGCCTCTTTGCTTGACATGGTAAAATCAAAAGAAATCAGCCAAGACATCAGAAAAAGAACTGTGGACCTCCACCAGTCTGGTACACCCTTGGGAGCAATTTCAAAAACGCCTGAAGGTACCACGTTCACCTATTGAAATGATAATATGCAAGTTTAAACACCATGGGACCACACAGTCATCATACCTTTCAGGAAGGAGACGCATTTTGTCTCCTAGAGATGATCGGACTTTGGTGCAAAAAAATACCTCTGATATTGTCCTCTG